AGTTGGTTCTCTTTTCCATATGCTGTCAGCCTTGGCTAGCAAAGCCCTAGCCACTGAACCGTCTCTCCAGGCCTGTCCTTCACTGTTTGTGCTGTCCAGAAATAATTTGTGCACAGCGTCTTCCTGATGTCACTTTTCTTTTCAGGTGACCCTCCTGGTGACTCCTCCATGCACCCGAGAGAGGCATTATGAGCACCTTGGACGGTGTTGCAGCAAATGCGAACCAGGTACCTCAGGGATTTCTAGCTTTCCTTTTTTTTTTTTCTGTCCTAAGAGATGAAGGAAGAAATTTATAGACCTTTCATGATAGTGGTAGGTAATGATGGTTGCCACTCAGAAGACAGAATGCTTCCCCTCAATAGATAGCATCACCTATGAATCTAGCACAGTTTCACAAACTCTACTGGTCCTGAGATGGCAGAGTTTCCTGAAATCACATCCTAGCAAAGCATGAAGTGTGTCTGACCCTTGAAAGCGTGCGCACAGCAGTCTTATTCCAGAATGACTAACTGGACTTGCTTATCCCTTGACAGATCTTCTCCCATACAGCAGTCTAAGAACACAAAGGCGGCCACCCACCACCTTGCACAAGTGTGGCCAGTGTTTGTGTGCCCCCGTGGAGTACCAACCTCTTAGGTCCTCACTTTCTCTTGTTCTTGGAGAGGGTAGCAGAAGCTGGGTTACTTTATAACCGAGGTCTTTCTGGGTGTTCTGATTGCAAATAGCTCTTGAGTATAGAGGACATAGAGCCAATACTTTTTTTTGGTTTTTGGTGTTTGGTTTTTCAAGATAAGGTTTCTCTGTAACTTTGGAGCCTGTCCTGTAACTAGCTCTTGTAGACCAGGCTGGCCATGAACTCACAGAGATCTACCTGCCTTTGCCCCCCAAGTACTGGGATCAGAGGTGTGCACCACCACCACCTGACTTCAGAGCCAATACTTTGATCGAGTACATGTGTGTATGTGCAGCACGCACACATGTGTCAGTGGAAGACTCTTGGTCAACATAAACTAGCTGCTAGCAAATAGTGCATACAAAACAATATCGACAAGTATCCGTGGTGACAGTCGAGGAGAGACTGAGGATGGGAGGGGAAGACCAATCCTCTTCCTCAGCCCTCTTCTTCCTGTAGTTCGTTCCAGCAAACCCCTCAGGGTCTACGGGGCACAGTGTAATTTCTGAGTTCAATTTCTCAGTCAGCAGAGTCTGGGAGTGCAAAAGATGGTTGGTTGGATGGTTGTTTATTTAGACAAACTAAGAGACATCTGTAGTCACAGTAAACCTCAGAGGGGGCAACAGTACACACAGCGAATCTGGGGCAGGATATTTCGACTAGCAGAGGCCTGAGGAGCCCAGGTGCTGTACTCAGTGCCTGCAGTTTCCTTTCCTCACATATTACCCTGTCTTAGAAGGTTCCTGGACCAGCGGCTCTCTAACCACATCTGCAGATTGCCATTTACATCTTCATGCAGTGCTGGGGATTTAACCCAGATCCTCACACACACTCAGGGTCTGCTCTTCTTTTTAGTTTTCCCT